TTGTGTATAAATACACAAATACACATATGCTTTCAATTGTGTAATTTAAGTGATCTGTGGTAGCTCTGTCTTGGAAGTTCAGTTAACGCTAGAAATGTGTTTTGGAATTTTGTACCTGCTTTTGAATTTGTATGTGCTTTGTCTCTAGAGGCCACTGCATATATTTTTATATAAACATATATAAATAAACCACTTTTTTACATTAGTAATTCATTTTGTGCATAATTTTATATTATTGTTAATAATAAATTAATTAAAGCAACAAATAAACTTGAAGAGCCGGCTCTTTTTAGTGAGTTTAGGCGAAAGAGCCGGTTCTCTAAAAAGAGTCGGAAATCCCATCACTACTCTGTTGGAGTTGGTTTAGAAGAGCAGAGGAAGCAATCGCTGGTGGGAACTCGTGTAGCGATCGATTGCTCCTGCCTGATCTCTGATGTAAAGATGGGTGCCTGCCGAAACAGGTAAATAAACACAATTAATAGGGGATTTGGGTTGAGGCTGCTTTATTATCCGTCGGTGAGCTTTATGTGAGGGTTGGGGCGTCGCTTTGTCCCTTCACTCCCACCCTTGCTGGGTGTTTGTACGGGGAGTTGAAAGGCGCACAGCCGCAGTGCAGCAGCGGTGTCGGGGTTCGGGGAAGAGCCTCGTTGTTACTCTGTTTCTCCAGCGTCGAAGAAAAAAAACAGCAACATAATAAAATAACACAGCCAGTCACAGCTAAATGTGTTGCATAGCTTCTAATTAATGTGACAGGATTAGCATGTTTGGCTAGTAGCTGTGCGTGTTGTGTAGTTGTGCTGTTGAGGGGGGTCGTGAGTACGATACCGCCTCTCCTTTAACCTCTTGGCATTTTCAATTCATCTCGCAAGCAGCCCATTCACAGCCAAGCTCTTTGTTTTCTTCTCCAAGGTTAGGGCTAAGCTACTTTCGTTACACGGTAATACTCGGAGCACCGCTGTAGCGTCACGTTTTCCTTCTTTCGTCTGTTGTTGTTGTTTGTTTGTTTGTTTGAGTTGTTGCAGTGCTTAAAAGGGGAAAAACACCCACCAACGCCAAGTTAATGTCATTTTTCCCCCAGGTTTTAAAACGTTGGGAAGTGACTCCCTGGCAGTGTTCAACGTGCAGTTGTAAGTCCACGCATCTCACCCACAGACTGATTTGCATTCATTGTTTGCCACCGTGTTGCTTACTTGTGTATCCCTCCCGCTGCAGCCCTGTTTTGGCCAATGCTTGCTGAGCTACAGCATGACCACAGCAGTGTCTGCTCATCTGGTAGTTCTGGCAAATGAAAATGGAGGAGGTTTCAGTGTCCAGCCTGGACAACAGCAAGCTGGAGGTACAATGGCGTGGAAGCCTTCTGGTAGACTTGGAAATGCACATTGTATCTGCAGACACGTGTGGCTGAATTGCTTCAGAACAAAAACACAATAAAGCAATCAGGCAACACTGTGTATCTTTCTCTTCCCTGCCAGGCCCTAGCTCAGGACATCCTGTCTGACCTAGTGGAGGATGCTTGCCTGGGACTTTGCTTTGAGGTCCACCGGGCAGTAAAGCAGGGCTATTTTTTCCTGGATGACACGGACCAAGAAAGTATGAGGGACTTCGGTGAGCACAGACTTTTTTCTTTTTTCTTTCTTTTCTTCTTCAGCCAAGTAAAGCTGAGTTGTTTCTTCAATATCAGCCGGTGTACACCAGAGAATAATTAACGTATAAATCAAATGACTTTATTTCGACTTCCAGAAATTGTGGACCAGCCAGGACTGGATGTGTTTGGCCAAGTGTACAACCAGTGGAAAAACAAGGAGTGTGTATGTCCCAACTGTAGCCGGAGTATTGCTGCCTCACGCTTTGCTCCACACCTGGAGAAATGTCTGGGGATGGGACGTAACAGCAGCCGTATAGCCAACCGCAGGTATGGGCATTAAAAAAGCAGCCAACACAGCTGATTTGAGACTCTATGTGAGTAGAGGCTGTGGTAATCTCAAATGTTTTCACAGTGTTGTCT